GGTCAGCTATTTGCATTGATTAGGGCTATTGCTATAGTAGTAATAGAGGTGTATTGGTTAAATGCTGACACTGGGATCAAAGGTAATGCTACCATTAGTGCTTGATGGCTAGGATATTCTCTTGACATATTATTTTTATATACTGGGAGATGTTCGGTTGGTATAAAGAACATGGCATGTATTTGTTTTGTTTTAAAAAACAGCAGTGAAAAAAATTTATTTTTTTAATAGACGCAAAACTTAATCTTCTCAGTACAGCAATCACTTAAGTCAGAAGTGGCGACAGTGTTATAATAAATTTGGTCTCTAAATCACCCACACAAATGACCACTAAGTGCACTTCACAATGGTAGACTAATTTCACCACAGATAGAGATAGATGCAAGGAAAAACGGCTGCAAATCATTAGACAAGGGTGGAGTAGAAAGACAAGATGAACCAACTGGTGGCTGGAGGGCTTCCAGTTGGTGATGACTCCAGTTTTAGCGTAGATACAGCTGTGTATCTGTAAACCTTAGGAGCTTTTAAGTTAGGTTTCAAATATGAGAACACAACTTTTTTTCCTGACTTAATGATTTTTTTTGTTCTGTTTTTGGACACAGCATCTCACTATGGGAACGCCTCCTGCGTGACCTTACAGGCTGGCTTACAGGCCCTTACAGGCTGGCTAAGTGACGCCCATGTCAGGAGGGGCTAGTGCCTCCCTATATAATAGGCTGACATAGCGTCAGATGTCATTCAAAACAAGCCCACCTCTTCCTTGCTTCCATAGCAAGGAGGGCAGTCCGATGTGCCTGTAAGGGCTGGCTAAGCAGCTGGCTAAGGTCACGCAGGAGGCGTTCCCATAGTGAGACGCTCACTCGTGCTACTCAGAGAACCGGGGTTATATACATAACCTTAAGTTAGCTTTAGACAAACCAGCTCCTTCCCTATATTGACTCTCAACTGGGCTAGTGAACTAGTTTTTGAATGTTACTTTGTATCTGGCATTTAGACGAGAGCATGTCTGAAATCTCCCCATTTACGTCTAGGTAAGACAGCTATTAAATATGATTTCAAAACAATGTCAAACTACTCCTTAAGCTATGCCAGAAAATCAGTACAAGTTATTTGGTATGCAAATTAATTCCCTGGCTTACTTTCCCCAGCATACTTTATTTCAGTGCTAAATAAAACAGACTGGTCTTGCCTGTGTCCAAAAACAGAAGAAAAAAATTGGTATTTGAGCTTCTATTGAGGTCATGCAGGTGTTCCGATAGTGAAAAGGTGAAAAGGGGGGGAAAGGAAACAAAACCTTGGACACTGCTAACAGGGCGCCTACAGAAATGCAGGAGATGAAGCATCGCTGAATATGTTTCCAAACCAACTTCATTCTAAGCCAAAGACTAGAAAATATGGTGAATATGGTGAAATATGGTGGTCTTTCCTTTGGCTTCGCCTGCACAAGTGCTGAGGTAGGTCTCCCCTGCAGAATTGGTTTTCCCTTTGTCAGGAGCACACGCTGGGCTGTCCAAATGACAGACAAACAGTATCCCACATTCTTGATTTTTAGTTCACAAACACTTGTTGTAATGACTAACTACTGACATTTTGGAGATGTTAGTTCTTTATACAGTAAAGTTACAGTAATTAATTAATTGTTTACTAAATGTTTGAGGTGTGAAATAAACCACAATGGAGCAAAATATGGGTGTGTGTGGTTGGAGGATGTGTGCATGCGTGCGTGCGTGGGGGGGGGCAACATTTTTCTTGTAAAACAAAGGGGGGCCTAACAAAAAAAGTTTGGGAACCACTGCCATAGTGAGACACGAAACGAATGCTATGAAAGAGAACCAAATTTAGATAATGACACCTCTAAAGGTCACAATTGCAACTCATTTTTTTATGCCTTAGTAAACATTTTTTGAACAATTTAAAAACTCGTATTCTAAATAGTAAGCTTTAAAGGTTGATGATGAAATTGTTTTTTTGGTTTTTTTTTTAAAAATTTGGATCTTTTCACCATGGGCTGTAGCTCAGGTGGTAGAGCAGGTCAGCTACTGATTTGAAGGTTGGTGGTTTGATCCCTGGCTCCACCTAGTCTGCATGCCAAATATCTTTGGGCAAGATAGTAACCCCCAGGTGCTCTCCGATACATCCATCGGAGTATGAATGTGTGTGAATGTTAGCTAAACAGCACTAAAGTATAGAGGAAAGTGCTTGTATGAATGGGTGTGATTGGGTGAATGAGGCATGTTGTATAGAGCGCTTTGAGTACTGCAGGAGAGTAGAAAAGCGGTATGTAAGAATCAGTCCATTTACCACCATTTATGGTAAGTTAAGTTAACCAGCTCAAGCCTCTTATTTAGTGTAAAAACAGAAATGGTATCAGCCTTACCTTACTTTACATAAAAAGTGATTATATTATTGTACAAGAGCTCTTCTTAGTCTTTAAGTTGCTCCCCTTTGGGATTGCCACAGAGGATCATCTGCTTCCATTTCACCTTACCTTTAGCATCCTCTGTCGCACCAACCATCTGCATGTCGTCCTCCACTACATCCAAGAAATTTCTCTTTGGTCTTCCTCATCTCCTCCTGCCTGGCAGCTCTGTCCTTAGAGTCCTTTGTCTAGTAGACTATTAGCTCCGCTATCCTACCTTTGTATATGTCTAAATTATTCTTCAAAACATTAGTGTATGAGGACTGTCAAATAGATTTACTTCTTATTCTTCTACATCTAGAAATGTTAAAGTATTGCATTATTTCTCCTTAACATAGTAAATGCATAGTTTGTTAAGCAGTAAAAAAAGTTATTATTTATTTTATTGGCACTTGGAATAAAATTATCCTTTGAAATAAGTGCTAGACAGTTTAAGTTAGGGTGGTGTGGTTGGTTAGCACTGTCATCTCAGAGAAAAGAGGTCCTTGGCTTGAATCTTCCAGCTGCTGGGGCCTCTCTGTGAGGTTTGCGTGTACTCTGGGTACGCTGACGTCCTACTGTCTTCTAAAAGACATGCATGTTGGGTTAATTAGTGATTCTAAATTGGCCATAGGTGTAAATTGTTATCTGTCTCTGTGTGAGTCCTGATACAGACTGGTGATCTATTTAACTCTTACTGTGTGACAGCAGGGATAGGCTGGAGCCCCACTGTAACCCTGAATTGGAAAAAAAGATCAAGAAAATATATAGATATTTTAGTAGTCTAATTTTTAAAAACATACACGGTGGTCTGTTTTCACAGAGGACCTTAAAATAAACAACTTAATTCCATGAAGGTGCTTTAGCTTCTACTATATATGCATACTGGCTAACTGCCTCTGTCTCACTGGGATACTTGAATAGAGCAGAGCCAACTTTAATCTCTTTATGAAGTTCAACTCAAGGTCCTTCAAGCAGTGTGAGTGTTTTCTTGTCTTGGTTAGGATCAAACCCAAACAAATTAAGCTTCCCTCGAAAGTAATTTCTTGCAAAAATATTCAGTCTGCAGCAGTTGCATCTGTACAGGGCTCAAATTTCATGCAAAAGGCTTAAGAGGACTTTATCTTGATGCACTTATTTAAAGGGCCAGTTCACCCAAAAGAACCCGAAAAGTACTCAAAAGTAGTATTTTGCCATGTTTGAGGTGTATTTTAGATAATCAGTCGTCCAAGTAATCTGCATATAGTGGCAGTAAACTTGATCTTTGTCTTTGTAGGGACTAGTTTTGCACCAGTTGTGGATTTACAGATAATATAACTGTCAATAGAATTGTATATTTTTTAATTTATTCTGTCTTGTTGTTATTTATCTCCTCATTTGTGCAAGGACAACATAAAAATTGCGTGAAATTGATGTGATGCAAAAGGCGAAAATTTTGGAACAGTTTTAGTCAGCATAATTGCTAATTGATATTAGTGTGCATTCAATTTCTTTATCACAATTTGGTTTCAGTGAAGCCTGTCAGTTGTTGTGGTCTGTAGCACATCCACAGTAACAATGGTGTTGCTTTTCGTGGGTCCCATTCCTCCTTTAAAATGCTTTAAAAAAAACAACAAACAAAAAACATATTACAGTGCTTAATAAATTTATTAGCCTTGCCATAAAAATGAAGAAAACATAGGAGGTTGTTTAAAATTAATAATATATTGTTATTTACTAGGTAAGTAATAAACCGAATTGCATTACTTACAAAAGTAAGTGACAAAATTAAGTAAGCTTCTATACCCAAATTTGAGCTAGAGAAGTCATAAATGAATGAAACATAACATTCAACCACTAAAACTATTTTTTCTGTTGTATTTACAGGGATGGCAGTACATAAATGTAATTTTGTGTCTTAAAAATAACATGATGCATTAGTATTTTTTACAGTAAATTAATTGATAATGACATTAACTATGTTTCACCATTAAAATATTTCAATTTCAGAGGTTGAGCATATTAGTAACTCATCCTTTTTGGTAATAACCAGTATTCTTAATTTAGGCCCTACATTAGATATAATAAATTTGTTAAGCACTGTACATTCACCTTTGCTTAAGTGCATTTGCAGGAGACTTCTCAAAACCTGCTCAAATAACGATAAAAGGTTTTGATGAATAAATACCAGTAGAAATATACAGGAAAACTTGAGTGACTCAGCCTTTTAAGAGGAACTCCTTTCTCAATGTGACTGCTGCAAAGCAAGTGAAATATGCTGACCGACAAATCTGGAAAGTGATCACATAAAAAATCATGTTGCAATAACATGTATTCGAAAACTTTGAGCTTTGCCAGTTGACCTTTTTTAAGTCTGTCTGAAATAGCAGTGGGAAGTTCACAGGATCAGATGTTCCAGGACTCAGTCCAGTCACAGGGTTATTCGAGGATCATTCCTCATTCAAGATGGGAATGCAAAGCAAAATATCGCACAAGAAAAGAAAGGCAATCCATATTTGTACCAATCTCATAATTTATTTAAGTATATTTCATTTTTAAATATAGCTATGGTATATATATATTTATATATATATATATATATATATGTTGGACACCCCTTTGGGAAATGCCAGTCATGTTAATTTATGGTACATAGGTGGCTTCTTTTTATGTTTCGCTTTACAGCGTGAAGATATTGCTCCTGCTTTTAAAGATGGCCTACATTATGTACAATGTTACCTTTTGATGACTCAAATACATAAATATACTCTGTACTGCACTCTACCAAAATCTAACAACCACTTGTTTTGTTTTATTATTATTATTATTTTTTATCTTTTTCACAAAGATGCAGAGAAAAATTCATGCAATTAATAATTTAATCACAGTTCTTTCTCAGTATGAGCACAGGTGGCTGAAACTATGCACTGACTGCCAGCTGGAGGTCTGTGAAAACTTGTCTGTGTAGAAGGTAGTACAGGCAGGGTTGAGCATATTTGGATTTCGCTCTTTTCTTGAGCAAAATAAATGAAGAAAAAAATGTTTTTGTTTTGTTTTAGCAACATCTTTTTTGGATCCCAGCATGAAGAGGCGCCAGGTTGGTGTGTCTCAGCCCCTTGTTTCTTTATCTTCTCCACTCTTCAGTTTCACTGTCTTTATCCTGGTCTGGGTTTTGTTGCCTGGGTTGCTCCCCCATGTGGTGACAGCTAACCATCAAGGCCCAGCCTGAGTGGTGGGTGGCACCCATCCACGCCTTAGCAGAAGGAGACCTCAGTGAATGACAATACTGTGCCTAGTGTCAGTCGGGGCTGGTCAGATTTAGGCTTCCTTACTGTCCAAGGCACTTTTTTCCCAAGTTTTTTTTTCTTCTGAAGGACTCGTGTGTGACTTTGACCTGTAACAAAAAAGACGTGATATTCAGGACCAACTTGAAAACGCCTGAAAAATTCTCCCCTCTCCAGAAAGAATCACAAATAATAAGAAATTTGATACTTTGCTCTCGCTGTGCCACTGTTAGGGCGTGTGTGTGTGGACACAGCAAGCATATCACCACGGAGAACAAACGTCTGAGTAGTGCCTCAGAACAACATAACCTTTACACTATAACCATAACCGGAGAGGTTTTTGACTCTGAATGACACTGATACTTCATGCAGTGCAAACATTTTATTTATTCTTACTTAAATAGGAATCACACAAAAGTTAAAAAAAAAAAAATCCACAACAAGGTAATATCCTGAATCTAGTCTTTTACTAAAGCAAAATTATTCTTAGCACTACTGATGATTTAGTGTAGTGAGCATTTAAGTGCATGATTACATCATTATTCTCAATTAATTCTATGTAAGCAGTAATTTTATGCTTTAAGTGCTCAATGTAATAATTGAACTCTGCTGCCGAGCTAGAAGAAAACACAGTTAAGTGCTTGTAGGAAATAGTAAAAATAGCTGTAAATATAAATACTGTTATAGATTAGTGTATTGATATATTATAGAGCTTGAGATTCATAAAACAAGCATTCATTTAACGTTTGAATGCATCATAAAGTACAATATTTGAGTGGAAGTTTTGTTATCTGTGCCACAGAAGTAGAAAGTAACACAGTATGTTTAATGACTGTAAGTTCAGTCAAATTAAGAAATACGCTACTGTGTGTTTCCAAGTATTTTGTACTTCTAGCCAACTTTTAAGAGAGAAATGGCACTAGAACTATACCTTTCTTTCTTTCTGCTTTATAGTTACGTTACCAATCAAATTTACGTTAATGAAAAAAAACAAACAAAACAAGCTGTAATGCGTTTGTACAGATTATAACTACAATCCTGTATATAACGTAGTGACAGTTATAGAACTATAAAAGCAAGCTGATACCAAAAAACATGCATGCATTAGCAATGCTACTCTAGTAACAACAAATCAGCTCAGAGTACATGTGTCCACACTGAAGACTTTTACTTGTGGCTGCAGTTTTACCGCATGGCCTTGTTAATTTTGCTCAAGTAAATGACCTTGAAGACTACCTCATACTTCCTCCTTATCACATCCTGTTCAACATTAATGACTGTGTTACACGCACACGCGGTCTATAATGTGCTCTGAACTCTGTTGTCTACGTTCAACGAGACACATTAACGAGCTGTTCCCCATAAAAAATTCATGTTTGAATCAGAGGAACATGGTACCGTACCTGGTGTGTGCTACCCCTCCGTGCACTGTGGGCTGCCTGCTAGCCGTGTCAGAAGCCGTGCACATCTTTTGAAGTCTGAGGAAAGAAAATAGGATGGACAGATAGTGAGTGGTTTAGTGTGTTGACATTGAACGGACAAGATCATTACTCAGGGTGTCAAGAGGGCCAGTGTAATGGCAGCTTACATGCAGGTATCGTGCAGTCTCTCGTGTGGTGGTAGAGTTTGTACACCGACTTCCTGCACTTGGGGCTGAAGGAGAGCGGACCTGAAACAAGAACAGAGAGGAGGCTTTAAGAACGTTGCCGCAGCAACCTTCAATAACATCTGTTTTGTAGTCATTGTCTGAAGCTGTAATTTACTTTTGTGTGCTATAGCTGACTTCCCTGGCCTGTTTTTGTAGGAATCTTTTTAGCAAACACTTTAAAAGACATTGAATTTGCAGTAATGTCTTACCTGTTAAGTATTTTATGAACTTCTCCTTCTTTCTTAGATCTCTGGGAAATATGGCTGTTTAAAGAGAGGAGATAAGGAAAGGGTGTCAAGTTTTAGTCTGTATCATATAGACAGAAGAAAATGGATGGATGGCATATTTTTTATCAGGAGGCCTTAAAATATCAGCTCTGGAGTTATCCATCACAACACACAGAATAAGGATGTTTTTATCAAACAAAATATAGCAGGACAGCTTTAAAGGGCCAGTTGGCCCAAATAACCCTCAAATAACCGTCAGTACTATCAGTAAGTATAGTGGTTTTATAACCAAATAGTTTTGGTTATATTGCATGCACTTGGTAGCCTAAACAAGAAAATAGAGAGGAAATTGTTCTTCTCTATGAAACTTCCATATGCCAGTATGCTACATCCCTGACTGTACATCCAACTTAAGATTCCTTTCTGGAAGAAAACTCACCGACAGCCTGATTCCCTCTGAATGCTTTGAGGTCCCGAAAATCCTTCTGCTCCATCGGAGAGCTCGTCTCCCGTGAAATTGCCGGCGCTTCTGTTTTGGCACTGTGGCGTCCCCGACGCCCCTCCACCTGCTTCACGATCTCCACCATCCGCCTCAAGTCATGCTGCTCGTCCATGCTGGCCGATGCGTCCCCTGTTGGGACCGTGGAGGGCGCGCTCTCGCCGCAGTGGTCGGTGAGCGTGCACATCAGTAACACCAGTCCTATAATGAAATGCCTGCGTAGTTCGCTCATAGCTCCCGGGGAGTGAGGGGGAAACAGTGAGGTCGTATTTTCTTTTCTGGGCACCTGCAGGAGAGATTGAGTATGAATGTTAAAAGCGTTGCTCACAGCCTTTCATTTCCTAATTTCACAAGTCCCAGAATCCCATTAGGCTACACCCCGCCAAGAGCGACTGTAAATGCTGGTTAAAATCCTTTCAACGCTGCAAAACAATAACACAAGAGTTTCTCAATGGGCCACAAAGCGAAAATCACAGTACTGCACGCATCTAATAGTCCATCAAGTTCGGATCATAATTGATTGACCGAAGCTTGATGGACTGTTAAGTAATCTTTCCCATGCGCTATTTAACTTTATCTTCAAATACGCTTTCCAAAATATTATGCAAAACTGCTTACCACGTGCTTGTTTTTAAACAGTTACTCTGTTTTTATGTTTTTAATAACTTGAGTGTCTTCATTGCCTAAATGTGGCTTCAGTCTTGTAGCTTAAAAAGTTTTATTTATGTTGATCCAGGCTTCTGTTACCGAGACGTTACACGACACAGTTAAGTCAAAAAAGGCAACAATGCATCAGTAAGAGAGGAACTAAGAATAAAAACATAACAATAAAGAAATCTAGATTCTAAAAGTAACAATTTAAAGCTATTTTTACCTTTATAAAGTCTTCAGACACTGATGACTTTCTGCGCACACAGCAGTAAGAAATGCAAACTGTGCGTAACTTCGGAGTTTGTCCGCCCCAAAATATGTCCTCTTAAAAGCTGCTTTTATTAATGCAAAAACAAAGCTCGTGAAGTCCGGGATCTTCGCCGAGCACCTGTGGTCATCCTTTGAAGACCGGCAGACTGCAGGGAGAGAGCGCACAGAACAGCTCAAGTGGTCCGGTGCTCCCAGATCCCGTGCGCCTCCTGGCTGAAGTAGCAGATTAGTCGCCAAGAAGTGAGGCTCACTTTTTATTCTGTCTCGCCGACGTGGTGACCTGTCCGCTGTAGGTTACTCCGCAATGTCTGTGAGTGTGCATGGGTTGAGTGACCATCACTTGAATGCTGTGTCAAGTTTTCTGCGCCCCCCTCCTTTGCCTTACTCCATTTATATGTACGATACGCGGTTACAGGAAGCCTTTTTCCTACTAATAGGCTACTTCCACTGAAATTTCCACTCAGCCCAGAATACAGCGCAGATACCGACATCTTAGTGGAAATGCTCCCATATCCTTCTTCTGAGGCTCATAACCTCATTAGAGCCATTGCGCGTTTTACATCCATCATGGAAATTGAAACGCAATTATGCTATGGACAGTTTAAGGATTATTTTGAAAATTAATTACAAACGGGTTTTAATACTTATTGCCCTATAGTTTCTGGTCAGAACGGTCCGGTAAATAGGATTACTGAGGTTTGCAGGTTTCTCCTCTTTGGGGATTAGTCTGTACTAGCCTGCCGTGGTTTGAACAGCTTTTTTTTTTTTTTTTTTTTTTAAAGGGGTGGGGGGAAAGAAAAGTATGGTTATGGGCGTGCAAGTGGCTCCCATTCGCCCCCTCCCAGTCCCCCCGTTTCCCCCACAATATTGTGAAGACACGATAGGGGCGAAGCGTTATGTTTCATACCCTTGAGAATAAAACACTAAATACAGCTTCACAACTTGTAAAGAAAGCGTCGTGAATGTGTGTGTGTGTGTGTGTGTGTGTGTGTGTAATCAAAAACATAACTTTTCATCTCGGAGTCTTCAGAAAAATACTCTCAGATTTTCCACATAATATTCTGTCTTTCGCAGGCTAATTGTAGTAGGGTATTTATAGTGACCACTCTCTGTGCTTTCACTGCATGGCTGGGTGAAGCTGTGGTCGTGCGTAAAGTGAAACCTTGGTGCTGAAAGGACAGTGCGCGCTGTCACCGAGTTCCGAAACTCCTCCGCCAGCAGGCAGTCCTTTGCTCGTTAGCGGTAATGCCTTCCTGTTTAACGGCAGAAAGATTTCCTTTGAACGAACTATATACTGATTTATAGTAAAATTGTGACAAAAGTGGACACTGATTTCCCTTTCATTATGAGGTATCCTATTGTATCTGCAAACGAAAGAGGATGGATGTGCTTCAAAGGCAGTGACAAATCCAATGACGCTGCACAGCTGTTTGGCTTGGGAAAAACAACTCTGTGTGCCTTTATATTCGAAGGAGGATGTGATCACCGATTCTGCTGCTCTAAAGCCAAACTGATTGATTCGTTTAGGAAAGAAGTAAGTTCGATAATCAAAAGAAATGGGGGGGAAAGGTGTTTAATTTATGACACGACCATCCACCCTAATGAAGTGCGCTTGAGAGAGAAACCTTTGCACATCTGGAGCAGTGTCCAGCCTTTGATCTCACGAAAATTAAACAGTTTCGCCACATTAAGCAATAAATTTGGGGAGCAATGTCAAGTGAGCCCAACAGTGATAATAACATTTAATGAAACGCAAAATAAACTAAAACTATTTTTGCCCATATAAGACTATCTATCTATCTATCTATCTATCTATCTATCTATCTATCTATCTATCTATCTATCTATCTATCTAT